AGCCAAGCTTGGACAGCGAAGGAAACTGTCCAAAACAGAAAGTTTCTGAAGATGTAACTGAACAAGGGGGACATGTTCCAGCCCCAGCAATGGCAACTTTGGCCACATGGTCCTGGTTTTAGAGACAAGGATACAAGAAAGGGGTTATGGACTCTCCCTCCAAAGCCGTGGAGGCAAGGTGTATGTCAGGGATGTCTCTGAGTAGAGGCCGACAAAGCGCATGGCGTGCAGCTGTGAAGGTGATGCCTGGGTGGCCTTGGAGACTCCCAAGACGTCAGTGATGCAGAGTCATGGGATGCCGCTGAGGAGAGCTTCTATCAGGAGTGCAACCAGCCCAAGAGAAGGAAGTGTGTTACAGTCCACAAAGCTGAAAGGACTTGCAGATCTGAAGAGTGTTTCAGCATCAGATATGGGTTTGGAGTTTGCCTAGCTGGTTTTTGGTCTTGCTTTGGCCCTTGTTACTGTGGTCCAGTAGACTCCTCATCAGTATTCCCTCCTTTTTGAATGGTAATGTTTATCCTGTGCCCTTGTATGTTGGATGTCTATGATCTGTGCTTTGATTTTAATTTTACAGGAGAATACAGTTAAGAGATTGCCATGAGTATCCGAGACTTTGGACTATGGGCTTGTAAACAGTGTCGAGACTGTGACAGACTAGGAGGACTTTTGAAGTTGTCCTAAATGCATTTTGCATTATGATATGATGACAAGCCTATGGGGGGCAGGGAGTGGGATGTGATGGTTTGAGTGAAAATTGCCCCCATAAGCTCATAGGAAGTGGCACTATTCCAAAGGTATGGTCCTGTTGGAGTAGGTGTGGCTCTGATGGAGTAGGTGTGGCCTTTTTGGAGGAAGTGTGTCACTGGGATTGGGCTTTGAGGTTTCAGAAGTGCAAGCCAGGCCCAGTGTCACTCTCTCTTCCTGCTGCTGGCCAATCCAAATGTAGGACTCTCAGCTACTTCTCCAGCACCATGTCTGCCTGTGTGCTGTCATGCTTCCAGCCGTGATGATAATGGACTAAACCTCTGGACTGTAAACCGGCCCCAGATAAATGCTTTCCTCTGTAAGTGTTTTTGTGGTCGCGGTGTTTCTTCACAGCAACAGAACACCGACAAAGACAGCATCTGAATTAAAGGAACAAGAAAACTGTAGGGGTGACGTTTTGAATGGAAGCTACTGGACTTATCCAGAGGTGCCTCTTGGTACGCAGCCAGGCAGAGAGACTCTCTATGTGATTCTAGGCTGAAAGCTGAGCAATAGAAACAGCGGATAATAGAAAACGTGCTAGACAGAGGGCACAGGAAGCTCCAAGACAGAGAATTGGGCACTTCTCGACTGCCCTGGCCACCAGTACCCGGCTGAACTGCATAGGGGGAAGGCCTCTAAGGGAAGGTGACAGCTAACTGACAGCATGGGGGGGTGCATGGCTTCCAGGCCCTCAAGCAGAAGCATGCATGTAAGAGTGAGGAAATGGGACTCCAGAGGAGATGCAGTCGGGCCGCAGACAGCCTTCTAAAGCATGCTGAGGCAGCTGCGTGACCCCGAGGGCGATGGGCTTCTGCTGATGTAGCCAGGTTCTTCATTAGCTGGTTACGTGGGTAATGATTACAGCAGGAAGACAAGCTAGGAGTGTGACAGTAATCGGGGAAGAAGCAATGGTGACATGGGGGAGCGAGAGTCATGGGAACAGAAAGAACCCTTGGATTTCTGGTTCCCGAGGTGATGCATGGCGGGGCAGAGACTCTGCAGAGGGGCATGGAGGAGCAGTTCAGGCTGCTGTGACCTTCACATCTTGGAACATCAAGATGGAGAAAGGGGTTCTAGGGCCAACATGATGCCACCTTTTCTGGTCCCTTGGTTGTAGCAGGGCCCTGTCTTGAAGGAGACATCAAAGGCCTAGACTTTTCAACACCTGTTTGTTGTACAAGAATTTAGAGTTCATTCAACCTGGCCTCTGATGTTTTCCAGTCACTAAACCCAATTATTTTCCAAGCAGTGGTGTGGTCAGAGTTTGAAAAGACTCTGCAGTCCCCAGTGCCTGGCACCCAGCTAGACCTCAGAGAGGCAAAAAGACACAGATTTAGCAGAAACATTGCGAGACCCCTGATGTGGGGGCATCACCTATGCAAGTGGCTTCCCTTTCCCAGCCTCCTGCTCCTCACAGTCTCACGCCTCTCTCCAGAATGGTCTTAAAGTGTCTAATAGGGGGGGACGATGCTTAGGCACACATCGCAACGAAAGCAGATGTGTGGGTAAATGATATCATTTGCTATACACTGGCTTTAGCAACTTGAGTTTGTTTCGTTTTTTTTTTTTCATGTCAAGGAAACAAAAACACCATAAGCAGAGCAGAGCTGCACTTCCCAAGCCGGCCCTCAGGGGTCATCTCAGTTGGGTCTTTCCTGAAGGCTGGGTGACTGGAGTGGGCGCTCTTTGACATGTCTAGCACACACCCTACAGTAGAGCTCTTGCCATTCCCGAGTGTAGTCAGCAAAAAAGACACGGCAGAAGGGGCAGGCTTTCTTGTAGTCTGTCTGGCTCAGTGTTCTACAGAGACACAGACCTCCTTGTAAACCCCACTCTGAAGCATCATGCGGCATCTTGCCAAGTTCTAGGTAACTAATCCTTCTGAGCCTCGGTGTCCTCATCTGTAAAATGGGGACGTTGTGACACCTGCATCACGAGGCAGTAGGTAGTGTCCACTCGTCACAAACACAGGTTCTAGAGCAGACTGGGAAGCCTGCCCTTTGTTGACTGCAGTATTTTGAGTGGGGATGAGTCACATAGGTTTGTGTATTTGAACACTTGGTCTCCAGATGGTGGTGCTATAACAGGGATGTTTTGGAGGCGTAG